ATCTCTCTTGTATTGAGGTGCCCAAAACTGGACACAATACTCGAGGTGTGGCCTCCCCAGTGCTGAGTACAGGGGCACAATCACCTCCCTACTTCTGCTGGTCACACTATTTTTGATACAAGCCAGGATGCCATTGGCTTTCTTGCCCCCCTGGGCACACGGCCGGCTCATATTCAGCCGTTTGTCAACTAGAACCCCCAGGTCTCTTTCTTCCAGGCAGCTCCAGCCACACTTCCCCCAGCCTGTAGCGCTGCAGGGGGTTGTTGTGGCCCAAGTGCAGGACCTGGCACTTGCCCTTGTTGAAACTCATGCCATTGATCTTGGCCCAGTGATCCAATCTATCTAGGTCCCTCTGTAGGGCTTCCCTATCCTCCTGGGAGTCAACACTCCTGCTTAGCTTGGTATCATCTGCAAACTTGCTGATGTTACACCCTATGTCCTTCCCTACATTTGTTTCAGATACGAGCTTAGCTATAAAATCAGAATTTGCCTGATTAATATATTTTTGGTACCAGTGTTGAGCTCTTTTGGCTCTTTTGGCGTTATCTCCCAACGGAGTGACTTTTAAAGGAGGTCCCTTCAAAGTTGTTTCCATAACGGCCATCCTGTAGAATTGCAAGTGAGAGACAGAGAGGGACAAAGAATGAAGGAGGTGACAGAGCAGGAAACTGTATTTTTATTTTTGGTGAGTGCAATTTCCGAGTTCTGAAAATACTCACAATAATTTTTGGCCCAGCTGGGGGGTCCTGGGAGCCTGGTCACGGAGACTGGTATTTCTTTGGTATAATCCCATTATGGTTATAATTCAATTAATATCTGCTGTAATGCTGAACTCCAAAGGAATAAATAGGCAGACACGGCATCGCTGCTGACAGCTCCAAACCTCTCTCTGCCCGTAAACAGTAAAGCTCTTTCTGTTCCTCTGAAATCCTCACCTTCTATAAGTGCTGTATCACAATAATGCTTCCTCTGATACATTTTTTGCTGCTCTCTCTCTGTGGTTGTTCCCTGGCTGCTTTTTCATCCTTACATCAGTCTCTCACCTCTGTCTTTAAACATATTGGACAATATTTATTGCTAGTCCTCTCCCCCCCAGATTTATTATTGGACGTGGCTTTGCATCTCTCCAGTTGGAAATACCCTGGGAAAGAAGAATTTTACCAAATTAGAAACCCAACAGTTCTGTATTAGTCCAAAAGCTTATTTATCCATCCAGAGCCCGCAGCAGATGCTCAGGGGAAGATTATTTTAAGTGGGTGAACACACAGCAATGTTTCCCTCAACGTCTGCTCCCAGTTTTTGGCAATAGGTGGGTATTTCTTTCTGAACCAGGGCCTGTAGCCACATCTTTGTGTTTAATAGACCGTGGCAGAGTTTTCTTCTATTTATTCTTCTAATTGCTTTTTGAACTCATTTACACTGTTGTTTCCACAACATCAGGGGGCAGTGAATTCAGTTGCGGGCTCTGGGAAAAAAGCTCTTTTGTTGGATACCTTTTATGTGATACCTTCATTGGTTACAGTCTCTTTCTTGGATCTTGACAAACGCTGAATAGTCATCCCCCCTTGGTTTGTCTGCGCCGCCCCGGGGCCTGCAGACCCTACAGCACCCACTGCTTTCCAAGCTGGGGTGTCGACGTGCATTTCAGATACCCTTCCACGCTCCTGGAGAGAGGCTGCCAGGCCCATTTCAGCCTCTGACCAAAGAAAACTTGACTCTATTTGTCATACAGCCAGAGACAGAGAGGGACAGAGCAGGAAACTGTGTTTTTTATTTTTGGTGAATGCAATTTCTGACTTCTGAAAATCCCCAGCATAATTTTTGGCCCAGCTGGTGGGTCTGTAGAGTCTGGTTGGGAATGCCCACGCACACCCCCTCCCCACATACAGGGTGTGTTGGAGATACGTAGGAGAAGACTGTACAGAAAAGTATTTTGGGAATGCCCACGCACACCCCCCTCCCCACATACAGGATGTGTTGGAGATACTTTTCTGTACAGTCTTCTCCTACGTATTAGGAGGAGAAAGGAGGGTGTAGAGAGATGGGGGTCGGTCTCTTCTCTCAAGTCACAGGCGACAGGACAAGAGGAAATGGCCTCAAGTTACGCCAGGGGAGGTTCAGGCTGGATATTAGGAAAAATTTTTTCACAGAAAGGGTTCTCAGGCATTGGAATGGGCTGCCCAGGGAGGTGGTTGAGGCCCCATCCCTGGAGGTGTTCAAAAGACGGGTTGATGTGGTGCTGGGAGGTCTGGTTTAGTGATGATGCTCCTTGTTTGTTGTGTGGGTGTCTATTTTTGTCAGTTCGGTTGACGGTTGGACAAGATGATCTTTGAGGTCCCTTCCAACCTAGAAGATTCTGTGATTCTGTGATTAGAGGCAACTGCACATTTTTAAAAAAGTCTTGAATTAATTAATTTACAAACTCCTTTGTCTCTCAGAAGCTTGGAAAACAATTTTTTCCTAAGAGTCCCTCATTCTTCTTTACTCGATGTCTGTCTCTGCTGTGGTGATGCACTCAACCGTGACAGACAAAACTCTTTTGGTTTGTTTTCATCTGGCTAAAAAGCGGCTTCTTTCTTCACGTCATCCTCCCCAGTTCGGAATGTAAGGAAAATACTTCAACCATAAGATTTACTTTATCTTATGCCTCCCTTTGTTTTTTAAGGTCCTTAGGCAGATGAACAGGGAAACTTCCGACAAGCCCAAATGTGCCTTTTCCTCCCTGGCCTCCTGAAAAAATCCCAGAAGTTGGATATTCACCATCTGTTTTGCAAATGACAGCTTTACAAACACATTTCGGTACCCATTGTCAGAAAAAAACCAAGTTGTGATCATTTAACCAACATTGATAGAACTTTGAGGGTTTAAGTTCATAAAATGGAAGAAGACAAACTGATCCACAGCAGCTTCCTCAGGTCACTGGGTTTAGTTTTTTCCTTAACCCTCATCCGAGATGCTTTGTACAATACACTGATGCAGTGCCAAGCTGCAAAGGGGAAAATAATTCTGAAATTCCTGGCTCTCATCTGTTGCTATGACAAATTTGCAGTTTTCATATTTGAAAACATTTAACTCTTCTTCCCATTTGAATTTATAGAATTGCCCTCAGTTCTGCAGGTGAAGTTGATTTTAAGACGCACACCCGGTAGTTGTAAAGGTTCAGCCTGGGCTGTGGTGTCTCTGCATTTGTGAGTCCAAAACCAGAGACTGTGGGTTCATGATGGACCAGCATGATTTTTTAATCCCGCGGATTAAGGTGTGTTACAGTTGTGTTGATTTACACCGACACACACAGATGAGTAGCTGGAGATTGATAGTCCCCCGAGCCAAGTTCTCTTGGAGTCTGCAGCAGTTCTGATCTCCATAAAATGAGACCCTGATCCAAAGAGAAGCACAGGGACCTGAAAGAGAACTTGGTCACTGCCTTTTATATGACAGCGTGTGGATTTGGGTAATTACTCCCAGGAAAATACTTGGACTACCCTAGCAGACCTAGCAGATAATGGTTTTATTACAGATGGACCACGGCACAACCAAAAATTCAAGACTATGAGACCAGAGGGAGTGCACCAAAACGAGTCTGAAACTAACACCCACCCGTACCTTTCTGCAGTGGAAGCTATTGAGATACTGAGGGGAGATTTAGATTAGGTTTTAGGAGGAAATTCTTTGCTGTGAGGGAAGTGAGAGCCTGGCCCAGGTTGCCCAGAGAAGCTGTGGCTGCCCCATCCCTGGAGGGGTTCAAGGCCAGGCTGGATGGGGCTTGGAGCAACCTGGTCTGGTGGGAGGTGTCCCTGCCCAGGGCAGGGGTGGCACTGGTGGCCCAGGGAATTGCAAACTGACCTGTGTCAGCCACTGAAGGGACCTATTTCTGCCCAGGGCAAGCTGGTCCCTGATCTGATCGAGAACAAGTGCTGAAAAAACACCTTAGTTTTGGAGTATTTTCATAACAAAACGTGTGGGTGAAAACGCTCTTTTCATGTGTCAGTAAAATGGACGAAGCAGGATCTGTTATAAACCACTAAAACACACTAAATGCTCTGTACATTCGAATTGCTTTTTTCCCTTTAATGGGACTGTCTGACCTTACTGCAACCTCAGGGCTTAACACACCTGCCAGGGTTGGCAGCAAGTGCTGATTATGGACGTAACCGGCTTAGGGGCTGCAAGGCTTTATCTCCCTCTCCATAAAGTATTTACTGACCTGCCTGCAGCCCCTGTGCCCTTCCAGCACCACGTACTGGTTCCAGCTCAGAGCCAGCCAGCGTCACCCTGTGTCCCGTGGGGCTGTGGGAGGATCGGTGTCTGGTGGCATCAACCAGAATTCAGCATCCTACAGGGAGGGAATCGCTCAGGGCTTGGTTCTTGGAAGAAATGGCCAAGAAACCCAAATTGTGTGGGTTCACTGTCACAGACTGGTACCCGAGGGTGTCCTCTCCCAAGGGAGGGCTTGCTAAGAGCCACCTTTGTGCCATTTCACTCGGCAAACACAAGATGCTTCTGCAGCTGCCTGTGAAGCAGGCGTTGGCTTCCATACCATCAACATGTTAGTATGCCCTAAGGAAGGCAACTCAGATATTTGAAGCGAGTTAGAGTTCTTTTTCAAAGTGCTTTTCAGTGATTTAGGCTTGAAATGAGTAACTTGAAAGCGCCCAAATCCTTAGT